AAAAAAAAAAAAAAAAAAATGTTTAAAGCTATTAGCAATAGTTTTTTTTTTTTTTKWKWTWWWTYTWKYTTGGATTACGTCTATTCCAAAACAGTTCGAACAGTCTGCGAATATATTGGAAAGGTTAAAGATACTACTACTTATCTTGAAACAGGCTTTAAATTCGCCATCATAAAATAATAATGTTATAATATATGAATATTTCAAATTTATATTCTGAAACAAATAACGTGGTTGTGATCCGATTTCATTCTTTTTCGCATTGTGAATGTGGGAAGAATGTCACGTACCAAATTTAGTCGAAATCGGTTGACGAGTCCCGAACCAACTTTATCTTTATCTTTCGATTTCATAAATTTTTACAGAATTGGTAGTAGTGTTTAAGGGATTTGTCCTGTTTGAAATTTTTGAACATTTTTATCCCACAGGTGCCACTTGCTATTGCGATTCCCTGTCCCAAATTACATTTATTTTAAATTAGTGTTTACGTTACGTTTTTGATTAATGGCGTTTTGTGGGCATGTCAGTAGTCCGATTACGGACGGACAGGATGGATTTCAATTCACCTCTTCATCCTTTAGTTTCAAGTGATACATACAATCTTTAGGCGAACAAATGCATTATATACTGTAGCAACATGTTGCAAAAGTATAAACAAAATTATGTTCGGTTAGGTTAAACTGGTATGCAATAACCCACGCATAGACCAGTTTTATTCTTTTGCGATAACAAATGGAGTTCAGATCCTCGGTCTAAGAAAATTAGTCATCCTTTAGGATCCCTGCGCATGACGCGAATTTTAACATACTCTGCGGCCTCACTGTCGATACTTCCTCCACTTTATAATACCGTGGGGACCCCAGTACTTACAGCGCAGTCTTGCCAATGCGGAACAAGTACACAAGAGATGTTTCATTGTTTCCCCGGTGCCTTGCTCTAAGCATTTCATACAGTCTTCTCGATATAAACAAAATTAGTATATTTATTTATTTTTAGTCTTATGCAAGTACGACGGTTCCGTCAATATCTTGGGCTTTATTGCAGTTGTGCCAATAAAAAGAGAATTACACACAATAAAAAATATTTTTCTTCTCATAGTATCAGACCTTAAGAACTCGAAATAATAATAAAATAACAGACCATATTTCCTCCTGTGGTTTCTTAATTCAATTTTATTTTCGTAGAAAAAATATGTAAAAAACTCTGTATAAAATATTTCTTTCTTTCTTTTTTTTATGCTTGTTGACATAACAATTTTAGTTTAGATTGTGGTAAAGTTTATGAAATTAATATTAAAATAATGGTTGAGCTATTTTATAGTGAGCGACTAAACTTTGATCGCGAGGTTTATGTTTAAGAAAGTTCGATTGTGACGAATTTTTTATGGGGTATGAAACTATATCAGATATCTTCGCGAATCACGTAAAACGATTTATCAAAAATTTATTATAATTATTATTATTTTATTGTGCTTTATTCATATTTATTCATATCTAATATGTATATACCATGTAACAAATAATTATCTTTGCTTATATTACATTTGATTTATTTAGGTCAATCATAAATATTTGAATGTAAACAGAAACCAATAATAAAATTTTTGCACTTCATCTTCTTACAGGGCGATACATTTCGGTAGCTGCCCGACAAATGAGCACTTGTTCCTTATTGCTGCTGGCCGTTCTATTAACAATTTTAAACGTCGTAGGCAGGCACACTATTAATGTTTAGGATATAAAATGCAAAGGAACAAGAAATTGAATGTGCTAACACAACAATTATACTCAGTGCAACATGTTTCGGTGGCATAAAAACGCAAATCAACTCTTCAAATAATGTTCGTAGTGATATATACAAAGTCAATGTAACCGAAGAGGTCATCAGTTCATCAATGTGCTGCTTATTGTTTCTGAAAATTACAGAAGTTAACTTAAAAAGCGTTAGCATATAATGCATTAAATATGGAAAAGAAATGTATTGGAATGCTCATTCTTCAAAAATGAACGAGTCGTTTTCGAAGCCTGTTCAAAAAATTAGTCAAAGGAATAAGAGTACGTTATGTCCTCTGAAGGACATAGATTATACACACACATTTGAAGCCATCATACCAAAGAAGAGTAATATTACAAAAGTTAGACACTTGAGACTAAGCACCTTTTCTAATGCTAACCTAAATATATTTTACTGTTTTGGATTTTAAAAACACTTTTTCTTTACCTTTATTGACTCTGATGATTTCGACGATGAGAACTCACAACAATAACTGAACGAATGTGTTAAACTAGTTTTAAGCGAATTTGTAATAAAAACTATTTAAACGTAACGTTTTTAAATAAAAAAAAAATGATAAATTGAATATTAAAATGTAAATATACACGTGAATATGTATTCAAAAGTTGGTACATGATTAAATCATTTAAGAACTGCATAAAAATATTTCAAATTAATTTAGCTGTCATATATGCAAGCTGTTGTCATACTATTTTTAATACACTTAATTTAATGTAAATTTGTATATGTATAAATTTGGTTTAAATGTAAATAGACATAAATAAAGTAACAAGTCGTGTTAGTATAGTTTTTAGAGTCTGAAGTAAAAATATTTTGTAAATACAGTAATATGCATATGTATGTATAATATATATAAATGTGTAAAAAGTAAAGAAAAAAACGATTAAGTAATTTAAAAATTTTGAGTTTTATTTAATTAAGAGGTTATATCCACTTGTGGTTTTGAATAAATCAATTTTTTGCGTATATACATATACTTGAAGACATTCTCCGAAAATTTGAAGCTGATCCGGGTAACGTTTTTTTTTGAGATATAAGCTTATTTGTAGAAAAATTATAGCTTAAAACACATTTCTCCCTAGATACGAGTGTTTTGGTTACCTGCGGGGAGATTTTTCTCAACTTCTAAGGATTTTTAAAAATGCATTTTTCTTGAACCGCTGTTTTCAGAGTTCAATTTCTCTCAAATTTCGCACGACCTTCTTGGATATACATATTTGTCTGATAATGATCGAAGGAATAAGATTTTTCACAAAAAAAACATATTTGGAAGGCGCCTTTTTGGAAAAAATTTAAATTTAACTAATTCATCGACTACCACTATTCTATCTATTGTAATAATAAATTGGCTTTTGGAATTGAGAATATTTTAAGCAGAACCGTCCTCATCGTCAGACATCTTTTTTTCGCAGTCAAAAGCAATATAACAAAATGGGTCACCGATTATTAAAATCCATTAAATTGTTTATTTTTTTATTTAATTAAGGCGTTAGGGGTAATTTTCAGGAAATCGATTTTGCATTCTACCAAAAATTGTTCTTTCAACCGAAAATATAGAGTCTTTAAAAAACGTAGACGGGCTTTAATGCTTTGTCTTCAATAAAGAAAATTTCAAAATTTCAGTTGTAAAAATGTACACGCTTTATTATGTTCATATTAATAAAAACTCTGAATAAAATGCTTAATACTAAGTGAAGCATATTAAAAATAACAATAAATGACATGATTTGCACAGAAAATATAACGATAATAGCATACCAGAATATACGAAATGAGTACACATACCTTTTACGCTAGACATGACGATTAGTAATAGCAAATTTTGAAACGTAAAATAAAAAAAATGTCTTAGATTAATAATACAGAAAATAAGAGTAAGCAAGCATGTTTATCTTGCTGAAGCTTAATGTACTACCGGCATCTTATATGGCTGCTAACAAATCACTAAGCGTGCAATTTTAAAATTTTGAGTCTAGAAATTCACAACAATGAAATATACAAATGCGGTTTGTTGATTACAAATCTTAACAAATTTGAAAAGTTTTCTACCAATTATATTCACATATACGAGTACTAGAGGCTGGCGCGATTATATGATTGAATATACAAATATATACAAATGTGATTTCGTACTAATCTAGATTATGTAAAAACAATACATGGTCTTATATTAATAAAAGTTTTTAGATATATTTTGGGTTTTATTAAATTTGTGATTGTATTTCTCACTTGTCTTTATGATCACAATATATCGCTATTACCAGCTGTTTTAAATATAAGAAATTAATGGCAACTTTAAAATTCTAAAATGTGTAGGTTTCATTTTCACATTTTTAAAAATACTAAACAGAAATTATTTAAAATCATGCAAGTCTTTCGTTAAAAAGAAATTATACAACTAAAAATTGTAAAACTATTAGGAATATACTATAGCGTTGCGCGTCCTTTTGCTATAGCTTTATTCAACGCGCTCAGACACGACTGAACGTCTTCGTAGTCTCGCGTCCATTCGCGCAAATTTCGTTCGGTTTCGTGCAGACGCGCCATGCCCAAACGTTGTCCACCGTTCTTCAAAGATGCAATACAATGGCATGCCAGAAGTTTGAAACATTGACGACGGATTACATTATGTGTGGCGCTATCCCAGTGTGGAGTAGCGCGTACAATCGGCCAAGCCATGGTCACATAGTCCAGCAATGCGTCCCAATTCCCCGAATCATATAGTTGTTTGGTGTGTGCGCTAAGCAAACGCTTGAATTCACTGAGATGTAGTGACGCACGTGAATAAGCGCTACTATCGGTTTTCTTACAAAGGCGTGATGTTGGCAGTGAGCGAAATATTTGTCGTTTGGCATGTAACAACTCCTCCTCTAACGGACTACAAAAGCCATAAAAAAATGTTTATCGTTATGAATTAGCATTACAAATATATTTATACACAGAATAGGGTATAATAAGTTTGCTACGAAGTAGTCCTAAGCCTTAGTGCCTCAGTTTTCGAATTGTCGCTCTGATATTTTTCACACGGTATTTATTGTCTAGTTGCTTATTCGTCAGACACCTACAAAAGCTGTCTATAGCTTAACTACAAACTGAACAATCCAATACAAAGTCGTGTATAAAACATTTTTTATTAAATGATGCAAGGGTATAATCTGCGAACAAATTTTTCAGATTGGATCACTGTAGCATTTTGCGGTCATACAAACTGAATGATTAATATCAAGTTCTTAATTGAATGTCATTTTTATTTGAGAAATATTCTTCCTGGACAAACCGTCAACGTCTAGTTTTACGTGGAAATCCTCAAAATCTCAAACTAAGAGTCAATCGGGTCCGACAAGACAGCCGCTTGGAAGTTGCACACGACAACGGCCGGTCTATACAATCTTTCTTGTGAACAACTACCTAATAAAGGCCGGTATCAAAATGCTTCCGCAGCCGCCCAACTGTCCCTCCGGATTTTTTTGTTTCCTTGCCTGAAAAGGCCGATGAAAGGTGATCCAAGCAGCATGCACCTTGGCTCTCAAGGCTATTCCGAAGGATGCCTTCCGTGACGCTTTCAATCTACAGCCCTGCATCGACGCAGAAGGAGCCTATTTTGATAGTTTTTAAGGAATTGTAACGATTGGTTCAACAAAATTTTTTTAATCGACTACTTTCCAGACAAACATTGTATAACATAACTGAAACACTTTTTTTAACAAGATATTTTCACGAACATTCATGCTACGAAAATTGACTTTTTAAAGAGTATTCTAGCTTTTTTTTATTGTTTATACTTACTTTATATCTGGCATAGGCAGACGGGAACGAAAACTCTCCTCGGTTTTAGCGTCACCCGCAACTAATTCTCCGACGATCAGATTAATAAGTTGTTGTTGCGACATTCCTTGCAAAAGCAATGGTAAAGGCATTTCTTCATTCATTTGTGCAATTGGTTTACCGCTGTTACCATCTTCACCGCCAAGACGTAATTTTTTCGCCATTGGTGTTCCTGTTGGCCATAATTGTTGTTTGGCTTTTGTTGGTGAAGGCATTACTGGTGGTTCAGGCGCCGGTGGTGTACTACCCATTGTGAGACGCTTACGCGGTGAACTGCGCAATATCATGCTGGTACTTAATGGTACTTTGGTTGGTGTACGTTGGAAAGGCATACGTAGTGGCGTATTGCCGACATCTGGCGATAAGCCGTTGTTAAAGCGACGCCGGCCACGTTGACGAATTATCATTTCATCCGGTGATGGCATTGGTGATAAGATATTATCCTGAGAAAGTGCTACATTTGTAGTATTGTCTAGAAGATGCGGTGTATTAAAAAGTGTTGCTGGTGTTGGTTCATTGGGGCTGTAGCGATTTGGTGTAGCTGTCGGCGTTGTAGCACCTCCACTTACGAAACGCAGCGCTTCCAAGCGACTTGGAATTTCCGAGAGTGCTATACGAATTTGTTGTTGTTGGTGCTGCTGGTGAGGAGTTGTCTCCGTCGTCATCCTGTTTCGTGTTATAAGAAATTCCTTATTGAAAGGATTTTTATCTATCTAAGGTTATTAGCGTAAGTTTAACACAAACGGGTCTTTTTTTTTATTTTGTGTTCAAGCGTTTGAAGACGCTTGAATTTTCTTACACCTTCTCCTTTGTTTTCTTCCAAACTGCGGAAAAGCGCCAATTATTTAAGTAAATTTGCAGACGTCACAGAGTTGCACTAAATGTACCATTTATATATCAAAAAAAGGAAATTATTACCTTTCTTATTTATAAAAATTTAAAATGGTATTTATATAATTACGTATTTAGTTGAATGGCAGTACGTCAAAAAAGTTTTGTATAGAAGTTTGCATTATTTGCGTTATATTATATATCGTCTACGCCAAAAGCTTATGCAGTATTAAATCAACGTGTTTTATGCAACCCTGAGCTATATTTGTGTTTGCCTTCATATGCTTTCTATCGAAATTTTCCTAATAGAACGCAACGAATTACGAACAAAACAAATCACAACAAATCAAAAATCCAAAATTTGGCTCCAATAGATATGGAAACGCCTCAGAATACCACTGCTAGCAAAGGTAAGTGTTCAAAATTAAATTTGCTGTTAAACTTCAGCTACTAATTTTATTTAACGCTTGAAGAATTTCAAGTGACTGGCGTATCCCGAAGTGGACGTGTACGTAAGAAATCATCCAAACTACTTGATTTTCAATCGCCAGATGAAGTGGAAAAGAAACTAAAAAGAGCGGCAAAGCTGCCGACGCGTAACGGTAATGTACGTGGTAGAAACATTATGGGTGGTATTGGGCGGCCCGCTCGTAGATCCCACATTAACGTTAGCAACGAATTAGGTGGTGATCTAAGTGATTTAGCTGAAGACGACACCGAATTGCATGATGAAATGTCGGACAACGGTACAGATGGTGAAAATTACGGTGGTAACAATTCACCAACAGGTGATTCCGATGATGATCTTAAAGAGCTAGTGGCTGGTATTGTAGATGGTGAACCTACGGATAGCAACGGCAATCCAGAATCGAAAGTGCGTTCAAGTTTATATATGACAGAGAAGGCAAACAAACGAAGGGTGCTGAAAGATGGACGTGTTGTGACGGGTAAAGTTGAAAGGAAAGATAAAGGCAAAACACGTTATACGGCGTACAGTATGTGGGCACGAGAATTACGTAAATCTGGCAAATTGAACAAAGGACATGATCTAGGTAAAAGAAATTACCATAAATAAAAGCTTTTTAGATAATATTTTTTGCTTACTTAGATTTCTCAAACACAGCAAAACGTCTTGGTGAATTATGGGCGAACGTTTCAAATAAAGAGAAAGATTCGTGGCGACGTAAAGCTAAAATTCAAGCTACTAAAGCGAAGTCCCGTGATCGCGTAACGAGTGCAACCGCCGTGAATCCATCGCTGGCTTATTTTAAACCAACAACAAAAGCCAAAAATTTAATTGAAGGGCAAGAGCAAACGCCACCTCCGATAATTGCAGCACAGTCGAACAGAACGAAGCCACGTGGCAACTCCATTTCAGTGGCAAATAATGCAGGCGATTCCCCAACCACTGGCTTAACAACAAAACGTCGAAGAAATAATAGCCACAATCGAGGCAATGGCGTTAACAGCAACAATCTTTCGACACAACTGATCGCTACCAACAACAACAGCACAACAAACAACAATTACACGAGTAATGCAGCAGGCACCACACTTACCGTAAATTCGCATAGCAGAAAGTCGTCACTGCCAAATATTGAGCCTGTTGATACGGCAGCACACCTAAAATTGCTCGGTGAGAGTTTGACTATCATCGGTGAGCGACTTAAAGAACATGAAGGGCAAATTGCGGTGTCCGGTAGCCTTTCCGTATTGCTAGACAGTCTGCTTTGCTCACTGGGACCACTATTGTGCCTGACAACACGCATACCCGGTTTAGAACGAAAGCCACAGCTAAGTGAAAACTTAACAGCGACATTGGACAATATCGCATACGTCATGCCGGGTCTTTAGTTTGCTGGATACTGATTGTATTTTATTTGCTATAAAGTTGATCTTTTCTTAGCTATTAAGTGATACCCGTAAGAGGTAAGTGTTGTGAGAGTGTAAGCGAAGAAATAAAAGTTTATATTTAGGTTTTAACTTACAAATGCATATTTATTATAAAGTCAAATGTAAGATTAAATAAAAAGGAATGTATAAATCTAACATCAATAGGTAATTGAGCATTCATTTATCAAAAATCATTACTAGATTTGCATTTTTAATATAGGTTAAGTACATATTAGCGGCAACTTGCAAATTTGCATAATTACAAAATTGTAAATTGTTCGTTATTTTAATCAATAACTATTTTAAAACATCAATATTAGCAGGGGTGCGAATTTTCAATTAAAAAATGTCGATTAAAAGTTAGATTTAATTCCGAAGTTTCGATTAAAATATTTATTTTTAACCCTGTTAATGGAATTAAAAAATAGAAACGACGTATTTGGCAATCCTGAAATTTAGGATATTTGAATACACTTTAATTACAAGCTTAAATTAGCCTAAAATATTACTACACAACTACATCTAGTTTAATTTTCGAGACAAACCACAAACAAAACAAAAAGTATTATCAACATTGTAAAATATCTATTATTAAAGACCATGAATATAAATGAACACAGATAATAGGAATTTTAGACTAAACATGTGGCATAAAAGCTGTAATGCAAACACTGCCACTAACTTCAAGGAACAAACAAATAATAGGTTTCAATTTACTTGCCGCGGAATGCTTGCGAAGTACAAGTATGTAAAATAAATATATGTATATATTGTTTTTTTTTTTTTAATTATTGTTCCGTCCATTACTACAGGTCATAGGATCCATATGTTATTAAGGTCACTCTGGGTTTCAACAGTCGTTTGGAGAGGGCACTTGCTAATTATTTAACGCCTAATAATTTACAACTGTTGGGATAACGCTGCGGCAGATATATTGTCGCCAGCACCAGCAGTTTTTTTCGCAACACGACAGACTAACACTGGAGCCACACAGATTTCGATAGGTAATGACTTTTGCTCATTCACAGCAATAGTTTCATTCCAGCATGGCACAGGTTGTTGTGGATTAAATTGTATGCGCCTGGCTGTGTTCTTGTTGAGGGCTGTGGTAGAAAAACTGTCATCTAAAATGAGTAGCGCAGATTCGGGATTGATCTGAAATTTAAATTTAAACATACATTTTTTGAACCTTTCAAATTTTTGTGGCATACCATATCTGTTTGGCAAACATGTCGGTGGGCTGTAAGCGCTGCTTTGGCCGCCGCTAATTGCGTACGCTCCCACTGGGAGTCGCGCACTGTTAACAATGCTTGATAGGCTAACGTATGTACGTGTATACGGGTTAAAAGACGTCTTCTTGGCAAGCCTGTACTATTCTTGTAGTAATCTTGAGCTAAAATTTGAAATACGTCACGCATTTGGTCTAATGCAGCGGCAACACGCGGATTCCAGTCTGTAGCAAGTGTTGTGCGTCCATGTGTTAACACCTGACGTAAATTTTCTAGCTCTTGCTCATTCATGCCTAACGAATCCACATATGGGAGCACATATTGTCGCAACAATTGTAGCAATTCGATTTCTACATAACTTGCCATTTCGAAATGTTGCAAAGTGGCATATGTTTGTGAAGTTATTTGTTCTTGAACTTTGAGTAGTCGTGCTTCGCGTACGCCAGGTGCAAACTTGTAGCTATCCATCATTTGTATGCCGCTGATAACAAGTAATCGTGGCTGGAAATTACCTACAGCTTCATCAAAATGTTCAACAGAATTTAAATGTGGATTATTTTGATCATTGTGTAGAATGTAGCGATTTGCGCGTGGCGCTACAAGTGGACCCCAGGTGTCACCAGACTTGTACTCCAATATAAGGTGGATATCATCTTCAGGTATTTCATCACCTGCTATTTTTATTTCTGCCGGCACAAGTCGACGTAACCTATGATAAAAAAATAATTGTGTAAATTAGTTAAATATCAGCAACAATACGCTTCATAACTATCAAAATTTCCATACAAGAAGTCAAAGAATCGGATAATCATCCGCGTCAAATTTCATTCACATATTTTTTTTAGAATGCCTCTGACGTTTTGTTATGGAAGGTACACACTTCGGAGTACGCTTAATATACTTTTCTAAATACTCACTTCTTTGACATACGCGCTCCAAGTAGCACATTAGCACCTTCCAAATGAAAACGAGTGCCCATAAGTGGTGCGTTGCCGCCAAGGAACCATTTGATGTTGTCACGGTGTCTAGTCTTGGCAATTTGTATAAGTTCTCTAAAAAGTTCGGTGTTGGGCATGATTCGTCTGTAATGATTTTCAAGTCACAAATTAAACATATTTCAAATAATTGATATATATTTATGTACTCACTCGGCTGCTGCACCATTTTGAAAATAATATGCGAATGTTTGTAGTAACTCTTGTCTGTCATTAACCTCGTCCACAGTAAATTCTGGACCGACACCTTTTACTAACTCCTCGGTATAGTTTAGAAAGTCTGTCGCATGCAACAACAAATCGGTGCAAGCACCATAGCCCACAGCAACTTTGGGCGCTTGTAGCGGCTTCTTGAAACTACTCTCAATCGCCAGGAGCCCCGTAAGTATTGAAGTGGTTTTGTTTAATTGTTTTAGTGACAAAAATGCTTGCCAAACAATAGAAATTAGAGCTGCAAACACCGAGCAGGTGGTCACAAGCGACATATACTTTATGACCGAGGTCATTGTATTTTTTTTCTAGCCGCTTTTGCACTGGTTGCCCTTGAGACTGTATATAGGTATGTGGGTAGATATTCAGGAAAACGTTAAATTTTTAAGTTCACTATATTTTGAACTTAACCAGCAAAAATTTGTTTAACACTACAAAAAAATTCGTTGACTTTTCGTTGGTGAAATATATATTTTTCCAGAGCTTGTCTGGCTGCTGTTCCGGCTCTCACTCCACACCATTCATCATCCACCGCTGTGATGCTGTTGGTTAACTACGGTTTTCTTTCCTATCTTGCTATGCACTTGTTGTTCTTGTTATGCGTATGCATTCAAATTCATCTACTGCTTGAATATTTATGCACGTAGCCACGACAGAGAGTTGACATTTTTTTTCAACACTAGTTCAAGACTATTAAATATTTATAACGCGAAACTAGAAACTGATACGGAATGACCAGCTGAACACAAATGCCGATAATACATAAACACAAAGCAGCAACAAAGTAACTGCCAGTGGCAAAAGCAAAACAAAAACAGCAAAAAGATAAGTGATTTTGAAAACAAAATGGAATATTGCAGAGGTTTCTTTCTTATTTTGACGCCGTTGAAAATTTTTAAAGTTTGAAGTTACTGCGCCGTGTAAGAGTTAATACAGCGCCTTGTAATATATTTAAAATGCTACAACAGAATACCACATAATATATTTTTATTTTTGTTTTGTTATAAAATATATTTGTAAATGTGTTATTACTTTTATATAATTAAAATAAAAATATTTATATATAACAATCGAAAAGTAATTATATAAAAGTATTGAAAAACCCAAAATGCTAAAATTACCCTACCGATCGACTTGAAATTTCTACACGACCTTAGATGAATCATTAAATTTCCATAATTAGAACTTCTTCCTAACTCGAATTTAATAGCTGTTAAATTTCATACAAATTTCATTCCGTAACTCGAAGTCTCTCCAACTCGAAGGTTTTTTGTAGATTATGGTGATTCGAGTTAGTTCGCGAAGTTCAACTGTATTTGTCAGGTAATGATCGAAAGAATAACATTTTTATAATAATTATATTTTTATAATAATTTTTATTTCAGATATTTGTAAGCAGAAAATCTTCCGTTCCACCAGTCGCCTTCTTTCGGAAGTTCATCTGGAGATCGGCTACGGGTCATGGAAATCCGAACCTGATCAATTTTAATCGGCAAAAAAGAAGGCACTTTATTCTGTAAATGTACAGTTTAAATTTGCTTAAAGTACATTTAAAAAATACAACTCAAAAACTGCTTTTTTTTTCTGATTTGAGGATATAATCCCTTTAAGCAAAATTATAATAATGCAACTACATTATATCTTGAAGTAATTTTCCTATGCTATATTCGTTTGATTGTGTCAAAAAGTTTTACTAGTAGTATTACTTGAATTGATATCCAACAAATCTTTCCTACATTCCATACTAATTAAAAATACAACAGTGTTATGTCGTACGAATTACTTGTTTTTTGTTTTAAACTCAACCTCTGACACACCACATTGCCCCGTTCAATACTCAAAACTCCATTTACAATCTACTTTCATTTTAGTTGGGAACATTTTCGCAATCACTCCGCTTTACCGATCTCCTTGAGTTATTTTTACCGTTGCGTTAAAGGAATTTTTCAACAACTATTTCAATTTTCGCTAAATGTTTTTTATTTTCAAGCTACAGTCGCCTACCACGTGCTCGGCGCCGCGAAAGGCCACGAAAAGCGCGTCCATGCACTTGAAATAGTTTTCAGTGCAAGGACAACCGGCAAGTTGCAGCCGCTAACGACCGGCATATGGAAAACTGGTTTTGTTTATACCATATATTTTACATATATTTCATGTACATAAATACAAGCAAGCGCTAAAAATGCTGTTCATTTGTAGTATACTGATTTTTAGCTGAAGTGCGTATTGATTATTTCAATTATTATTTTTTATCTCATATTTAAAGTTACTCATACGCCATGTTGCTTGCTTTGTAATGGCTATATGTCAAAGTGTGTTCCGCATTTTGCGAAATTAATTAGACATCAAATGGGCGCATCAGCAAACACAACATTGTATGTATCGGAAATTAAATGCCGGCGTATTGGCGCGCGCCAGAGTGAGTGCGGCGCCGCATGCGCACAAATATATTCAGGTTTGTTGGCATCTATGTACATATGTATGTACAAGTATATATTTAAGTACACTTCAGACCGTCAGTTGGTTAAAGTTTAAGCGTTATGTGTTAAAAAATGATGCTGCTTGCCGCAAGCAATAAGCAATAGCGTGGACTATTCGTAATCGGCGTTTAAGCAACTTTGCTGGAAGTGTGTGCGAAGCAGTTCAATGAGCATACGTTATGATTAAGTGGTGCAATATTGGATTATTTGAACTTTTTGGAAACAAGTATTATTTAATAATATTTATACTATTGCTTGTCAGTCTTTGCTTTTTGCAAGTGGCAAAAGTATAAATTGTTCGGTTACGCTCGAACTTAGCCTTTCCTTACATGTTTAGTAAATATTTACATAATTTATTTGTTAATTAGGATTATATATAATTTGTTATCTTTTATTCGATAAATTTTTATTTATTTTTTATTAAAAGTTTCTTTTTAGAAGAACTATAAATATTATATAATAAATATTTTTATAAGAATAAAGAAATTTGGTTTTCTTTTATTGTCAATAATTTAATTATTCGTTATTTACTATGCATACTTTAACACATTTCATTGATTATTGTTTTGATGCTTTGTGCCACTTTTCCCATTTTACTTTCAGACATTTTCGCCGGTTGCCGTTTCCTGTCTTCATTAATATATATGTAAATATGTATGTATTGCGCATTTAGTATAAATTAGATTTTTGGTATAATTTACTTGTACAAAGCTGACTATATCGAAAATAAATTAATGAAATTTTTATTAGTTTAAATTTTATGATTTTATTTAGCATTTTTTTTAAATTTATTAATTTACTATATTTTTTAATATTTGTTGTTTCTTTGGTAGAAACACATTTTATTTTCAGTAGTGCATTGGTTTCCATTTTAGTAGCAATTATGTCTTGACTAATCTTTGGCGCGATATTCGATTGTTCGATTATGTTCGTTCCGCACTTAAGTTGAAGCATCATCGTATCACTAATATCCGCTATTTTGATTTTTTGTTTGCTTACATATTCACCAACATCACACAATCATTAGGTTTTTTGTTTTTTGGAGTTGTTTAGCATAAGTGATTTTTATTTTGTTATTCCCTTTTGTGTGTGAAATTTCGCACATAATAAGCATACGCACACAACCGTCGGCGTTTGTTCGCAAATTCAGTAACTCTTTAAATTTTTTATTTACATAAAACACCCTTACTATTCTTCATTTTGTTTTGCTTGGAGTACTGCCAGCGATTCATACACTGTCATGCTGGCTTTTCTGTAGCATTTCTTATATGCAGTGACGTAAGCTTGCCAGACAAGCGAGTACAGTATTCCATGGTGTAAAGTCCAATCAATTACGAATTAAAAAAAAAAAGTTTACCTTTTATTGCTTTTATTTCGGCGCTTATGCGTTGAACTGACGTGATTTATATAATAATTCTGGCGAAATTTTGCAAATTTAAGCAATACTGCCTCACTTTTTTGACGTCTTGCTCAATTAATTGATTTAAAAAAGTGTTGTTAAGCAATTGTTTATAAGTAGATAATTAAGTGACATTATTTTGAAAGTATTTGAAACCGGCTTTATTTTGTAAACCAGACCTAAAGCACGTCCGTTACTTTATGTCATAAAATAAATATATGTAAATTGGTATAAATAAGCATTTTTTGTAGAACTTTGGGCGCTGATGCAAAGTCCATGGATCAGTCTGTAAAATAAATTGAATTATGGCAAAAATTAATAAAATAGCTGTTTTAATGTTCAGATAATGTGACAGATTATGGAAATGGATATAAGGGAAACCGGTTGTAATATAAATAAGCTGGTGCATCTATTCTTGACCGATCAAAATTCTATTAACGACTCATAACAGTGACAACAAAAAACGAGCACATAGCTATGATCACGGATCTTCGGATTACTGATCGTCTAAGTATCACTAAGTTATTTTGATATTAGCGAGACATTAAAGTAAAGCGCTGTCGCCAGTAAGAAATTCTTCCATATATAACAATGAGAGGCATGCAACTAGTAGGGCAACGACAGCAGTGCAGTTTGCTGTTTGCGATGCGCTTGTCAATTTGCTTTCAGTTACACCCCTTCGTGGTTGCGGTTGTGGATGCCTTCTTAATTGCCTTGTGTTGAAATTGAACGTTGGTAATCGCCTTACACATAATTAGTATATATGCACAGCCATAAGATTCAACTAGTAAATAAAGTATAACCAATCACACTTCCTGAAGTTGAGTTTTGTACTCTTGCAACATGTTGTTACAGAGTAAAATGGGTTTGTTCATCTAACGGTTGTATGTATCATATACATATATGAAATAGATATAGGGTTATATATTGATAAATGATTAGGTTGACGAGATAGACCTGAAAGTACTTTCCTCGCTTTAATACTTACAAGTTGCAAGAGTATGAAATGTTCGGTTACACCCGAAATTAGCTTTCATTACTTGTTATATAAGCCTTTGCATGGTTTTCTCTGACGCCCATTTAAACCATTTTAACTTTAATCAAAGTATGTTGCGACTTCAGCATTCTTCCGTCATTTTACATATACTACTTTTACTTCTACCGAGTGAGGCTGTCACACACAGGTGGACGCAAACCCTTTCGCTCATTTCATTTTAGGTCTGTTCGTTGTGGTAGCGCAGGGTGTAACAGTTCGGCTTTTACAACGTGTATTATTTAAATAATTAAAACAAAAAACGTTAACGGCTGCACTGAAGCTGTAATACCCTTCACAGGTGCATTTCGTATAACAAGAAAGGGACCTTTTTCTGGATTTTATTGGTTAATTTGAATAGAAACTCTATGCAATAGTTGTCCGGACTGAACAACTTATGCATTGAATGTAGCGATATTTTGGACAATAATCGATTTCGTGAAGACGTTAAGTCAAATAAAAAAATTCCCTACAAGATGAAATTCAGGTCGATCAGATTATATGACATCTAAATAGCGACCCGATATCGGTGGTTCCGAGCAGCTCTTTTGGGGAGAAAAGGAGGGGTTACAAACTTCGTGGCAAACTTAATATACCTTGCTTAGAGTATAAAACCGCTTAAGCATGTCAGTTAAGCGCAGTTTTAAAGGTCAAGGAGCAATATTTAAAATGTGCATAATAAAGAACTTTGTTGGGCTTAGGGACTTATTTAACAAATCTGTTACAAACATAGATTGATAATAAAATCATTTCATTCCTTTTAGCATGGTTACGAAAAAGGAAGACTTAGATCTGATCACGCATCCAGGACAGAACTGCTTAGCTGTCAGAATTGCAAACCAATTCTGATTTTCAATGGTTTCGAACATACTCAAAACCAATATTCGAATCAGCTATTTACTAATGTGACAAAACGTGCAAATTAATACATTTGGAAGCAATCTTATTGAAGTTTTTAAGAGTTGAACAAGAGATAACGTTTATCG